TCAAAATTAAAGAGCTAGGGGTACGCAGGTTTGAGTCTTTGGTTTCATTTACCAAGATGCCATTTTGGCACATTAATTTGAGCCACACCCAAATGAATGCATTTAGGCATGCTTCCGGGATAACATCATGTGGACCGTTTTGGGCCATATCTCAAGGGTGTAATCCCAGGGTGTAATCCAACAACCCTGAGATCCAGAAACCCCCGGAAGATAAAACCTGAAAGCCAGCATTGCCGGAAGAAGCCCCTTTTCAGAGGACCTGCTTTCTTAGTTGCATGTCAATTTGTAGGGGAGTAGGCGGTCTATTCTTGCAGCAGGGCTTCATTTATCCCAACTGGTGCAGGATTTGTGCATAAGTTGTGGAGTCGTAAGACTTGCAGGCTGTCAATGGACAAGTTAGGGACGCCTCTCGCCTCAACCAAGGGATTTTCGGACCGATGTGGGAAGTTCCACCAGTACGCCAAATTGAAACGGAGCGAATGGGTGGTCCGGGTCCATGGACAGGGCTCATTTAACATTTCCCAAACACAGCCACGCCTAAAGCTCTCAAGAGAGCACACAGCAGAAGCACATGTAAGCAGAGCTCATCGATATACACACTGGAATGTAACAAGCACCAATACACATGTATACACATATATATGTATATATATATATGTATATGTACACATACATTATATTGTTGAATATATATACATATATATATATGCATTCACCTGTTTATTTCTGTGCCACAGTTATTAATTTAACTCATCTGCGTTTGTTTATTGATTTCAATGTCACTACAGCCCCGCCGTCAAGGCCACATTTGGGCTTTCTGCCTGCGTAAGCAAGAATCCATCTGGGCAAATTACGGTAGCCAAAAGTTAGACATCCCAATTTCGGGAACCTTCCTGGCTAATCTCGTTTTACCCCCCCCCCTGCCTCCCCAGTCCGGTCTTCAAGTGTTCCACTGTTCCCAGGTTCCAATGTTCGGTTCCCATGTTGCAAAGCTCCAGTGTTTTCCAATGTTCCAGTGTTCTTGTGTGTTCCACTCTTCCAGGCTTCCAGTGAGCTCCTTGGCATTTGCCCAGATCAATCCCCTTATGGGCAACCGAGGGTCTGATAGCTGCTGGCCCCATCCCAGTTGGCCGTCGGCTGTACACAGGGCACCGTGTAGAGATTGCACCACCTCGCATTCGGCTTTCACAGCTCGGAAGCACCCCCAGAAGTCCAACACACGACCACTATACCTAGACTCTCCATGACCCTTAAAAAATGGTGTCATTGCCCAAAAGAAAGGGGGCATGACCGCTTTTGCTAGGGGTCACGAAGACTCTAGGTATCATACAAAATACTGGCTTTTTACATTTTTTTGTAGGTGAAGGGAAGGTAGATCATGGGGGGCGGCGGTCTGACCACTATGTACATATATATATATATATATGCCCGCAACACAAAAGGTACCGCATCTTGCCTTCCCTCTGATAACCCGCAGGTCCCCACGATTGTCCCAAGAAACTCAGTGACTGTCAGTTTGTATACACCCCATCTTGCAGGGTGGCAGTGAGAGTTCTGCGCCACGACGGGCTCCAACGATATGTCAAACCTGTAGGAAACAAACAAGGGTTTGTGTGGGGAACCCCCCACAAAAGATTGGCTTGCTTTTGGTTTGCCCTTAAACCAACCCCAAACAAGTACCCGCAAGGACAAGCAAAAGCACACGCACAGGAAGTGCTGCTGAAGCGGCCCGCTGCTGTTGTACCAGTCCACAGCTTGGCAAATGGAAAGCCTGAGGTTCAGCTGGAGCTGCGAGGAATGAACGCTTGCACCCACTCGCCCCGCCGGTTTCCTCAATTTATCAATCATGCCTTGGGGGCCCCATGCTCAGGAACCAAACCAAGGGGAGTCAGGGGAGGGAACTTCTACAGGAGCCCCTCTTGATATCCACAATGCTTTCCCCGAGCACTGTGATAAACATGGCCCCTTTTTGCACCCTGGCGCCGCCTGTAATTGGTTTGGGCATCCGACTTGCAACAGGAAAGCCAAACACATACACAGCATGAACAACAAGCTTGTGGTGCTTGCATATCTTAGAAAGTTATTTCTCTTAGGAGCATGAGTTCTGGAGGTGTGCAGGCTATCCGATGAAAGGGGTGTAAATCTGCCTTGCTATGTTGCGAAATAAGCACCACCTCCAAAACCAATACCACAGTCACAATTGAATTCTAGTTTTCAAAGGGTGTAACCAGAACTATGTGGGTCTGCCTTTTTTGGGGGTACCCCTTTCTTGTGGTTTTAAAGACCAAACCTGCTTCTGGCACCAATCCCCCAATTGGTGGATTCATTTTTTCGTCCATCCACAGTATGATCCGGATTCCGCCTGAAATGGGACGCCTGCAAATCCGCCCGGACTGTTTTCCTGAGTCAAGAGTACTAAAAGCGATGTTTGATTCCCAGTTGGCTTCCTGTGAGGGGGATGTACAGAAATCCTGGGTTCCACGGGGGTCCCCAGGCTTAACGGCAACGCCCCCAAAACACCGGGAGTCGAAGGTGTCATGGGTGCTACTTTGGAGGCTGCTGAGGTTCCCCCTCCAATGCGTGGATTCAGAAACAAGTCGCTGATTTGTTTTGTTGCTTAGTCGTCATTAAAACGGTACAAACCCAAAAAATCCGCCGACCCTCTGCCTCCCGTCCCAGCCTCCTGCAGAGGGGACCGGCGTGGGATGCAACTGGAAGTGATTGGAACCAATGATGGTTTTTGGGGGGACACGCCCGAAAGCACAAAAAGTGGATTCCCAGACTACTCCTAGCACGCTGGTTCTGCTGCTTCAGATTACTTGTGTAGTAAGGACCGGTCCTGGGACCAGTCCTGGGACCCCTGGGACTGGTCCCACTGGGACCAGTCCCAGCCTGGGACCAGTTTTGGGACTTGGCCAGGACCGCTTTCAGACTGTCCAAGCCGCTCCCGGGATCGAGTCCTGGTGTGACTGCTGGTATTGGATCCCGCTTCAAACCGCTGCAGACACCTGGTGCCACCTCAAACCGCTCCAGACACCTGTTTCCTCCAACGGTTGAGGGGCACCGACGGCCTTGTTTCTAGGACCAGCTCAACGTGACTTGGGCGCAAACCGGCCCGTGCGGTCATTAACGGACGAGCTGCCATCTGTCTGACTTTTCCGTTAATCCTTGTGGTAGTCGAGGATCCCTGGATCTATTCGGCAAGAGAGTCCAATACGTCGAGTCAAACCGCGCCAGACTGGGACCAGCCTGGACAGGGTCCCAAGTCCCAGTCCCTGCCGGCGACCGGTCCAGGGCAACTGTCCCTGGGCAGTTTTGGGAGGGCCAGTTTCAGGGCGACCCCGGGAGAGGCGACTGCGGGCGCAAGCCGGCCCAAGCGGTAATTAACGGACTAGCTGCCATATTTCTGACTTTTCCGTTAATCCTTGTTTGTGGTCGTAGAGGATCTTATAAGTGGTCCCTGGGTTTGCGGACGTGTTTCAGGACCGGTCCTTATGACTTTTCCCTTTACGCGCCGAGGGTCGGCGGCAGCAGGCGGGAGCCTGGTTAATAATAAAGGGGCTTGGCTTCCTTAGAGCTTCGCTTAAGTCTAGGGCACGATTCCCCATTCTTTTCGACCACTTCACAAACTGGCCGCTTTCGCTGGGTTTCTGGGCGGGTTCAAACCCCACTCCCCAGGACGAGGCGCTGGTTACAAAACCCCTCGCAGTCGGCCAAACCTCAGCTATGGCCACATGCAGCTCTCGCTCCAATGGCCAATCAAAACTAGCAGGACAAGCAGGGCAAACTCAGCCTCAGTTGCCCCTTAGGAACCCAGAAATAGATCACCTTTGGGGTCACTAAAGCTAGACTAAAAAGGAGAAACCAAAAGGTCAAAAGGTCGGCTTTGGGCAACTGAGCAGCTTCCTCCAACTGGTGGGTTGGTTGGTGGTTTGGTGGTTTGGTGGTTGAGGAGGGGTTGCCCCTCCACAAAAGCCAGGGGTTCAAATCCCCAAGCCACCTATCCAAACCACACCAGGTTTATCTGATATAAACAAAATAACTGAGAACTGAATGCACTGAAGACAACTGAGAACTTGTTGAGCGAAACTGCATGCAACGGATTGACGCGAACTGGACAATCAGTCACTATTAGTTGGCACCCGTTTTGAAACCCCACCCCGTTGGGGTGACTTGTGCGAGCAAAGGGTATGGTGGACGATACGGGCACTCCCACAGTTTCTCTCATGAGGTCACCCTTTGCTAAAGAGAAGCACATGCATCTAAACATCAACCAAATACCGGCTCCTGACCACTGGCGCTCTTTGGAAAATACTGCACCCTCCAGATCAGTTCTGGACTTGTTGTGCAATCTTCTACATCCTCTACTTCTTTGTGCTTCTGCAGCTTGCCTTTTCAATCCCGTTCCAGTACAGTTCCAATACACCAAGAGAGAATGCTTTAATCTGTTTCTTCTTCACCTGCTTAAATCGAGCCCAAGGCGATGTCTAAAGCAAGCTAAAACAGCAAATACATAGGAAGCCCTGTTAAACGTGGGATTTGGAGCACACCACGTATTTGTAGGGGCGCCCAGCCTCTAAAACGACAGCGAATTGATCTATTGCCAGGCTACCATCTCTAAATTGTTGTTTGAAGGGAGGCAAGCCCGAGCATAGACATCTGTGAATCCCTCAACATGTAGGCTTTACAGGAAGACTTAGACCCCCTACCAGCACTCGCTTTTGCTTAGTTGAAATCGAAAATGGAGGAAACCCCAAATGGCAAACACAAGGTTGGTTTGACTTGACAATGAATCAATGGTTCTCCACTAGCCAGGCGAAGGAAGCACCACTGGTGGGACTGGAGCTTGGGCCACTTGGTCAGGACAGCTAAGGGTTTTTTCAAAAGGTCCTTTACATGCATCATGGGATGACAATTGGATGGAAAAATGCCAAAAACATGATATGTCCCACCTGGGCAAAGCTATTCATGACCCCGGAAAATTGTTCAACCCGCTGTTTTCAGCATTCAGCTGGGCCACTCGCCAGGTCATGGTGCTGAGCAAAGGCCTCGGGGATGCCCACGTCGGAGTTCTGCTCGCAGGCCTCGAGCGTTCGGAGCGCGAGAGGCCGCGCGTCCGGAGCGCCCTGAGCCCCTGGTCAAGGGCGACCCCGCCCGAAGCCCTTCTTGAAGCCTTTTGGACCGATTTTTTTTATTTTGTGAGACCGGAAAGGGGGGGCTTTTCAGGCAAGAAAAGTGTGAAACCAGTGAAGGAACCTTAAACTGGAAATTGGCCAAACACCCAAACTAAAACCAGGATCCCTTGCCTGAGAGTATCCCCTGAATATCGACCAAGGGGTGCAGCTTTCCAAAATGAAGCTTTTTGTAGGGCAAACTCGAATCATCATGAAACCGTTCCAGAATCCATGGCTCACAAATGGCCTAAGGCTTATGAAGACCTACCAAGGCTTTATTGCCAGTGCACCCCAAGGAGACATGCTCTTGGCCGAGGTCTGTGAAAACGGGTGCCCAAAGAGAACGATGGATGAGGAGAATACAACCCTCAGAACTGTCGGGCAAAAAGTCCAGATGTTTTTAGTGGGCTGTCCGCTTTCAGATCTGCTGAAAGCTTTACTGATGGGGTAAATGGAATTCGGAATCCCCCACTCAGCCAACTGAATACCTACAAACCGGGGGCGGCCCAGCTGAAGGCGCCAATCCGTGAGAACTGGCCGATTTTTTCCAAAGGAGTCTTGGCATTTTCCATCCCTGCAAAACCGCCGCAAAGGGGGCCCCTTTCAAACCCTCCGGACTAGGAAGTTTGTTTGGACAGCTCAGAAAATGATTGTCCCCTACAGGAGATTCCTCTACAAGCAAATGCTAGGTTCCCACTTAATTTGCAGGGTGCCACTGCTACAACCGTAAACTCAACAATGGTAAGCTCAACAGGCAAACGATGTAAACTGAAAATTATTGCCATGGTTGAGTCTCCTAAGGGGAACGCAAAGAACGATATCTCGCAACAAACGGCTCGACTGCAGCCGCTGCGCATACTGGGTGCTGATGGGGATCCACAAGGGCCTGCTCAGCGGTCCTGGCAAGCCGCGCGCCGCGCCGGCCATGGGGCAGAGGCTCCATTTCGGGGTGGATGAACATCCACTTGCCATCTATTTTGATGTTCACCAGGGGTGTTTTGACCCACAGTCATGTGGCTGAAGTCGCTTGATGGGCCAATGAATCTCTTCAGCTGTTTGCCACCTCAGCCTTCCCAGGGTTCGAAGAGGCAACGGTTGGATCCAGAGGAGGCAGTCACCTTTGTGTTGTGCCTCTTGTCCCAGCTTAGCCTTTTGTTCTTGCATGCCGAAAGGCTTTGGGGTCCAAGAAAGTGAGGGCTGGTGCAATGGTAGGTCTGAAGGCTTGACAAATGAGCTTCCCTCTGATTGGTGGTTTGGATTGGTGGTGTTGGTGGCTTGGTGGTTAAGTGGGGTTTTCCATCAACCCGACAAGGTGTTCAAATCCGAACCCAAACCACCAATCCAAACGACCAACTAAGGGTTACCTGAAACAAACGCTGGCTCACCTGGCCTAAGAACCTCGCGGAAAAACTAATCTGCACGTCAAAGCAACATGAAGAGCTAAGTGAGATGCCGGTGGGGCCCAAATACACAACAAATTGCTCACTCACTACTCACGCACACACGCACACACACACGGCGTAAGCAAAAACCGTGTGGTTGGCCCAATGTATCCTGGCAACGGGTGGCGCTGCATCGCTCTTTGGCATGCGCTCAGGCGGTGTCAAATCCAAGGGATTTACCACCCTTGGTTCGGACAGGTCCTCCCTTCAAAACTTCCTGAGTGGATTGGCCAGAAAAAGTCAAAACTTTTCATCTAATACCGCCAAATTCGTCTTCCCGAACAGTGACTCAAGTCCAGGAACTCGGGGAGTGAGCTTCATGC